TCTGAAGCCAGGAGCCAGGAGCTTCTTCCAGGTCTCCTACGTGAGTGCATGGTCCCAAGAAATTAGGCCATCTTTCACTGCTTTCTCAGGCCATAGCAGAGAGCTGGATCAGAAGTGGAGCAGCCAGGACATAAACTGGAGCCCACCTGGGATGCTGGTGCGGCAGGCAGAGGCTTAGCCTACTGCGCCACAACACTGGTCTCTGTTGTTAAATTATTAAAATTCTTCCATATCAGTCAGTAAAATGCAACTGTATCAAACTCACTCCAGGCCTCTCAACTTCAGCAGTTCTAGAGCCCTATTCCACTGTGGCTGAGTGGCTGTGAGCTCCCAGTCAGTCACTGAATAATTCAAACATCATTCTTGTTAATAATGATCTTCCAAGGTGCTGTGAGGCTTAAAGTGGGTTCAGGCAAGCAGGCTGCAACCCTTGACCTTTACCAACGCTTACCCCTCTCAGACATGGGTCCTTAGACCATCTTTTCTTTTTGGAGCAGAAGCAAATTATACTCCTGCTTTGCAGCTACCATGGTATCTAAGCCTTTTCCTGGGTCAGCCCAAGCAATTTTCTATTCCCTGTTCTGTTCAAAACTAGCCACTGGGGCCGGCGCTGTGGCACAATAGGTTAATCCTCCGCCTGTGGCACCAGCATCCCGTATGGGTGCCAGTTCTGGTCCAGGCTGCTCCTCTTCTGATCCAGCTCTCTGTTATGGCCTAGGAAACCAGTAGAAAATGGCCTGAGGTCTTTGGCCCCTGCACCCACGTGGGAGACTGGAAGAAGCTCCTGGGTCTTGGCTTCAGCTGTTACGGCTATTTGGGGAGTGAACCAGTGGATAAGGACCTTTCTCTCTGTCCCTCCCTCTCACTGTCTGTAACTCTGCCTCTCAAATAAATAAATAAAATATTAAAAAAAAAAAAAACCAACAACTAGCCGCTCTAGGGGATAGCACTGTGGTGGAGAGGGTAAAGACACTATCTGTGGCACCAACATCCTATATGAGTGCCAGTTCATGTTGTGGCTATTCCACCACTACTTCTTCTTCTTCTTCTTCTTCTTCTTCTTCTTCTTCTTCTTCTTCTTCTTCTTCTTTTTTTAAGACTTATTTTTATTTATTTGAAAGAGAGGTAGAGACAGAGAGAGAGGTCTTCCATCCACTGGTTCACTCCCCAGATGGCCGCAATGGCCGGAGCTGAGCCAATCCGAAGGCAAGAGTCAGGAGCTTCTTCTGGTCTCCCACATGGGTGCAGGGGCCCAAGGACTTGGGCCATCTTCTACTGCTTTCCCAGGCCACAGCAGAGAGTTGGATCAGAAGAGGAGCAGTTGGGACTCAAACCAGCGCCCGTATGGGATGCCGGCGCTTCAGGCCAGGGCTTTAACCTGCTGCACCACAGCGCTGGCCCCTGTTCCACTTCTGATCCAGGTCCCAACTAATGGCCTGGGCAAGCAGTGGAGGATGACTCAAGTATTTCACTGGCATAATGTTCTCAAGTTCCTCCATGTGTAGCATGTATATGTATCACATTCCTTTTTGGGGCAGAGATGCCATTGACTTACTGCATTTTGGATATTGCTTTTATTTTCAGGTATCAATGTTGTTAAACAACAACAAGAAGAAATTAAACCAGGAGGTTATGAAGGAGAGGCTCTCGTGCACATAGTCCCTGAGAACAAACGCTATTGTTGTTGGAGTCCTAGATAGAAAGTCAGGGACCAGGTTCTCTTCTTCTTGTTTGATTCTAATTTTTTGACAGGCAGAGTGGACAGTGAGAGACAGAGAGACAGAGAGAAAGGTCTTCCTTTTGCTGTTGGTTCACCCTCCAATGGCTGCTGCAGCCGGCGTGCTGCAGCCTGTGCATCACGCTGATCCGAAGGCAGGAGCCAGGTGCTTCTCCTGGTCTCCCATGGGGTGCAGGGCCCAAGCACTTGGGCCATCCTCCACTGCACTCCCTGGCCACAGCAGAGGGCTGGCCTGGAAGAGGGGCAACCGGGACAGAACCCGCACCCCTACCGGGACTAGAACCCGGTGTGCCGGCACCACAGGCGGAGGATTAGCCTATTGAACCGCGGCCGGGACCAGGTTCTTTTAAATCTCAGATGGTGAATTGAATGAGGCTCACACCGACAGTAACAGAAAAGTTTTATTACAGGAAAAGCAAGCAGAGTCTTTCATAGAGTAGGAGTGGACCAATGGATCAGAGATGAGGCTGAGACCCGAGGCCCCGCAGATAACTGGTGCTGTGATTTTATGGGAGCTGGTTCCTGGGTGAGGGGCCCAGGTGTGGTGTTGAAGTCACCTGGTGTGCCGGCCATCTGGCTGTTATCATGTCTATACATGTAGCTTCCAAGGGAAGGCTTTTTAGACAGGCAAGTTCTTGACAAGTCATGTATCAAACAAGGAGTTAGGCTTTGAAAGCTTTTGGGATTTGTTTAGCTGTTATCTTATTTATACAAATAGCCTCTAAGGAAATATTTTTGGAAATTTTCCCCCCCTCAGCTTCCCCAATTAGCCCTTATCTGCTTCCTGCCTCACTATCACCCGACTGAGCTAGAACTGCATCCTTACAGAAAACTCTTCCACGAGGACATCTGTCCAAAAGTGCTTGTCTGCTGGAGTTAAGTTGGCACTTGTGGAGGCTGGCCTTGTGTTATAGTCGGTAAAGCCAACACCTGCAGTGCCAGCATCCCATATAGGTGCCGGTTCACATTGTGGCTGCTCCACTTCCGATCCAGCTCCCTACTAATGGCCTGGGAAAGCAGTAGAGGATGGCCCAAGTGTTTGGGTCTCTGCCACCAATGTGTGGGATACCTGATGAAGCTTCTGGCTCCTGGCTTCAGCCTGGGCCAGCCCCAGCCATTGTGGCCATCTGGGGAGGGAACCAGCAGATGAAAGATTGATTTCTCTCTTTCAAATAAATAGATAAATCTTTTTCTTTTAAATATTTATTTATTTATTTGAAAGTCAGAGTTACACAGAGAGAGAAGGAGAGGCAGAGAGAAAAAAAGAGAGAGAGGTCTTCCATCTGCTGGTTCACTCCCCAATTGTCCATGACAGCCGGAGCTGTGCCAATCTGAAGCCAGGAGCCAGGAGCTTCCTCTGGGTCTTCCCATGCGGGTGCAGGGACCCAAGGACTTTGGCCATCTTCCACTGCTTTCCCAGGCCACAGCAGAGAGCTGGATAAGTAGTGGAGCAGCTGGGACTCAAACCGGCACCCATATGGGATGCCGGCACTGCAGGTGGTGGCTTTACCCACTATGCCACAGCATCAGCCCCAGTAAATCTTTTTTTAAAAAATATTTCAACTGTAGGGGCCAACATTGTGGTGCAATGGGTAAAGCCACCACCGTCCCATATGAGCATTGATTCAAGGCCCAGCTACTCCACTTCCGATCTAGTTCCCTACTAGTTTGCCTGGGAAAGCAGCAGATGATGTCTCAAGTGCTTGGGCCCCTGCCACCCACATAGAAGACCCAGATGGAGTTTCAGGCTCTTGGCTTCATCGCTGCCATTTAAGGAGCAAACCAGTGTATGGAAGATCTCTCTTCTCTCTCTTTCTCTCTCTCTCTCTCTAGTTTAGCCTTTCAAATAAATAAATCTTAAAACAAAATCACTTGCGATGCCAGCAATCCATAAGAGAGTGCTGGTTCCAGCCCAACCGCTCTGCTTCCTATCCAGTTCCCTGCTAACTTACCTTGGAAGGCAGTGGTTGATGGCCCAAATGTTTGGGTTCCTGCCACCCATGTGGGAGACCTGAATGAAGCTCCTGGCTTCAGCTTGACCTAGTCCTGGCCGTTATGGCTATTTTGTGAGTGAACCAGGGGATGTAATCTTTCTCCGCCCTCCAAATTTATGATAAATATTACAAAGACATCACTTGGGACCCTTACATCCCATATCAGAGTACCTGGTGTCTGGCTCTGCTTCTGATTATGCTTCATGCTGATGTGTACCCTGGGAAGCAGCAGTTGTTGACTAAAGTGTGTGGGTCCCTGACAGCCACATGGGAGACCTGGATTGAGTTCCGATCTCCTGGCTTCTGCCTGGCCCAGCCCCAGCTGTGGGGGAGTAAACTATGCATAGTTTTATCATCATATGCATTTCTCATGGACTGTTTTAAAAATCCTTCCTCTGGGGGCTGGCACTGTGGCTCACTTGCTTAATCCTCCGCCTGCGGCGCCAGCATGCCATATGGGTGCCGGGTTCTAGTCCCGGTTGCTCCTCTTCCAGTCCAGCTCTCTGCTGTGGCCCAGGAGGGCAGTGAAGGATGGCCCAGGTGCTTGGGCCCTGCACCCGCATGGGAGACCCAGAAGAAGCACCTGGTTCAAGCACCTGGCTCCTGGCTTTGGATCAGCACAGCGCCAACCATAGCGGCCATTTGGGGGGTGAACCAATGGAAGGAAGACCTTTCTCTCACTATCTATAACTCTGTCAAGTAAATTAGAAAAAAAAATCCTTCCTCTGGATTTCAAAAAAAACTTTGCACCAAAATAAATTTATCTTTTACTTCCTTTTTTTCTATTAACCTTTTAAAACTATTGCCAAACAAAAAATTCTCTATATTACTACTAGTAATGGATTAGAGACACATTAACTGATACTACACTTGATCTTAGCCAAAAGGCTGAGAAGCAATAGAGAGACATTAACTGCTTACTATGTGTCAAATATTGGGCTAATTCTGTTTTATGTGTATTACTTCATTTAATCCTGTAAGAATTTCTGTGGCGGAGGGGATGTGGGGCCAGAGAGAGGCGGGGTGGGGCCAGGCCGGTGTCCCATAACAGTGCCAGTTCTAGTCCCAGCTGTTCCAATCCAGCCCCTTGCTAATAGGCTGGGGAGGCAGTGGAAGTCCGCTCAAGCGCTCGGGTCCCTGAACCCACGTTGGGGACCCGGAGGGAGTTCAGCCTCCTGGAATGCTGGGCATCTGGGGAGTGAACCAGCGGATGGAAGATCTCTCCCTCTCTCAGTAACTCTGCCTTATATATGAGTGGATGATTGAATCTTTAAAAAAGAAAACAATTTCTTTCCAAGAAATCTACGCTGGGGTCAACACAAGGCCGCTGGGTCCCTCTCCTCCCACACCAGGGATCCTCTGAGCCCGCAGCCCAGCGGCTCCCGGGGCGGGGGGCAGCGCCCCTCTCCTGAGGGTCGTCCGCGGAGCCCGGCGAAGCCCCGCCCCAAGCTCACGCCCGTGCGTGGCGCCCTGGGCCGGGACCCCCGGCCGACGCCATCTCGCGTCCTGGCAGGAGCGGAGCCGCAGGAGCCGGCGGAGCTGCTGCCCGGACTCAAGATGGCGGCGCCGGCGGGCGGGACGACTGACGCGGGCGCGAGGAGGAGCGCGACCATGGCGGCGGCCGGGCGGCGGCGGCGGGAGGACACGGGCGAGGAAGAAGAGGCCGTAAGCGCTGCGGCCGGGAAACCCCGGCGCTCGCCAGGGGCGGGGATGGCGGCGCAGGCTGCGTGTGGGAAGGGAGTCCGGGACCCGTCCGGCGCGAGGGAGGCCCCGCGGCGCCTCGCCGGCGTCCTGCCCTGAGCGCGAGCCGCCTCCGCCAGGCGGGCTCGAATGTGGGGAAGGCGCCTTCGGTAGCCGCCGTCGCTTGCGTCCTGGCTGAACACGGGGCCCGGGTTCACAGTTTGGGACTTGTTTGGTTCCTTGCCTCCTCCCGCCACGCTGGCATGTTTGCCCCTCTTTCCTCCACCAGGAGCAGTTGGTGCTGGTGGAATTGTCGGGAATTATGGATTCAGACTTTCTCTCCAAGTGTGAAAATAAATGCAAGATTTTGGTGAGTCTAATGGAATTGGACAGTTGTGTGGCTTTTCTTACATTGACAGAAGGGCCAAAGACCGATGTGTGGCTTGCACCTTACAAAGGGGGGACCCACTAGGGTCCCAAAGGGTGCACAGGCGGGACTGTAGCAGTCGATTTCCGGGGGAGTGATCCGTGTGTTTGCATGAGTGCCAGAGTGTGGCTGCAGAGACAGGTTAAGGTGTGGAGCAGGTAACATTTTGATGTGGAATAATATGATGTGTTGAAAAAATGCATTGCCTTTTTTTTTTTTTAAGATGTATTTATTTGAAAGAGTTACATACAAAAAGGAGATGCAGAGAGGGAGAGAGAGAGAGGTCTTCCATCCGATGGTTCGCTCCACAATTGGTTGCAACAGCCAGAGCTGCACCGATCCAAAGCCAGGAGCCAGGAGTTTCTTCTGGGTTGCCCGTGCAGGTGCAGGGGCCCAAGGACTTGGGCATCCTCTACTGCTTTCCCAGGCCACAGCAGAGAGCTGGATTGGAAGTGGAGTAGCTGGGACTCAAACCGGCACCCATATAGGATGCCAGCATTGCAGGCAGCAGTGTTACCCGCTCCGCCACAGCGCTGGCCCCAATGCATTGCTTTTTGAAACTTAAGAGCAGTAGGGAAGAAACACTGATCAGGTGCACACAGAGGCTAACCCGTGGATAGGGGGAGAAGATGCCTGTGAGAGAAGATTTCATGGACATCACACCTGCTGTTGGCTGGAGTGTCAGCCTCGTAAATTACCATCTGCTTCATCCCTTTCCTTTTTTTTTTTTTTTTTTTTTTGACAGGCAGAGAGACAGAGAAAAGGTCTTCATTCCATTGGCTCACCCCCCAAATGGCCACTACGGCCGGCAAGCTGCGCCAGTCAGAAGCCAGGAGCCAGGAGCTCCCTCTTGGTCTCCTATGTGGGTGCAGGGCCCAAGCCCTTGGACCATCCTCCACTGCCTTCCTGGGCCACAGCAGAGAGCTAGAATGCAAGAGGAGCAACTGGGATAGAATCCGGCGCCCCAACCGGGACTAGAACCCGGAGTACTGGTGCCGCAGGCGGAGGATTAGCCTAGTGAGCCCCAGTGCCGGCCTCATCCCTTTCCTTTAAAACCATTAGGCTGCTGCTGCTGGAATGGCCTCTGAGCTTGCCCTAAGCTGGAAGAGGATGCTGACTGAAACAGACTTTGCTGCTTGGGTAGGAGTCAAGTGGTGCTGAATGTGTAGCGGCTGCTTGGAGGAGCAGTTGTGGTTGATTTTGAACTTGCTAGAACAAGATGCTCCTGAGGTGCCGCCCTTTGGGAAGTGTATCCTTGGTAGCAGGGTTACATGGTGGAAGTTTTTCCCTGATGATTTTTTTTTTAATGATCTTTTATTCTGTTGCAGGGAATTGATTCAGAGAGGCCCATTCTGCAAGTGGACCGCTATGTCTTTGCTGGGGAGTATGAAGGTTAGGAGGATGGCAGTTACATGGAATTCCTTTTTTAATATGCCTTTCCGAGACGGTACCTCTGTAGCTCTCAACAAGTTACCTTCACGTTGTTTCTGCAGACACTCTTGGGACCTGTGTTATATTTGAAGAAAATGTGGAAAACGGTATGTGATTGTTATGCTAGCCCAACTCTGTTGACTATGAACTGGTTCTCACACATAAGCCTGTATAATTAAAATTAGACTTTTCATGTACCTTTTGTCTGGCTGTAACAGATTCTACCATTTGCCAAACTTGACTCAGATTATAGTTTAAAAATAATTCCAGAAGCTCTCTATAACCCCTTCCAAATGTGTTCCCTTCCCTCTGGCTTCAGAGGTAATTACTCTCCTGAATTTGGTGTTTATCTTTCCTGTACTGGATTTTATGTTACATAGTGGACGTATCTATTCACAGATATTAATCATGTTTTATTTATTTCCAAACTATATAAATTATAGTATACTATAGATATCATTCTGTATCTTTTTTCACTTCTGTTCTGAGATGTGTACATGCTGAGGTATATAGCTGTAGAGGCTAGAGTTGTGCCAGAGCCTGTTAAGGCTTTGCTGTGACGCTGTCATCCCATATGGGAATGCTAGTTTGTGTCACTGCTACTCCCGCTACTCCTCTGCTTATCCAGCTTCCTGCTAATGTTCCTGGGAAAGCAGCAGATGATGGCCCTGGCCACCCCTATCAGAGGCTCAGATGGAGTTAAGGCTTCTGGCTCTGGCCTGTTTCAGACGTGGCTGTTATAGCTAATTTGGGAATGAACCAGTGGGTGGAAGATTTTTCTCTCCTCCTCTCTCTTTCACTCTGCCTTTCAAATAAACATTAAAAAAAGAGAGACAGCTCTAGTTCATTTTTGCTCCCTGCTCTTTAGTACTTCATTTTTTTTTAACTTTTATTTAATGAATATAAATTTTCAAAGTACAGCTTATGGATTACAATGGCTTCCCCCCCATAACGTCCCTCCCACCCACAACCCTCCCCTTTCCCACTCCCTCTCCCCTTCCATTCACATCAAGATTCATTTTCGATTCTCTTTATATACAGAAGATCAGTTTAGCATACATTAAGTAAAGATTTCAACAGTTTGCTCCCACACAGAAACATAAAGTGAAAAATACTGTTTGAGTACTAGTTATAGCATTAAATCACAATGTACAGCACACTAAGGACAGAGATCCTACATGAGGAGTAAGTGCACAGTGACTCCTGTTGTTGACTTAACAAATTGACACTCTTGTTTATGGCCTCAGTAGTACTTCATTTTGAGCCCTTACCACAGTTTATTCTCATTGGCTTTTTTTTTTTTTAAAGATTTACTTAATTATTGAAAGTCAGAGTTACACAGAGAGAAGAGAGGCAGAGAGAGAGAAGAGAGGTCTTCGTCTGCTGGTTCACTGCCCAGATGGCCACAATGGCCAAGCTGCGCTGATCTGAAGCCAGGAGCCAGGAGCTTCTTCTGGGGCCCAAGCAGTTGGGCAGTCTTCTACTGCTTTCCCAGACCATTAGCAGGGAGCTGGATTGGAAGTAGAGCAGCTGAGACTCGAGTTGGCACCCATATGGGATGCCAGCACTGCAGGTGGTGGCTTTACCCACTACGGCACAGCATTGGGCACCCCCCCTCCTTTTGTGTGTGTGTGTGTGTGTGTGTGTTTTTTAAGATTTCTTTTTTATTTGTTTGAAAGGCAGAGTTAGAGAGTAAGAGAGAGAGAGATCTTTCATCCACTGGTTCACTCCCCAAATGGCCACAACAGCTGGAGCTGGGCTAGACCGAAGCCAGGAGCATCTTCCTGGTCTCCCCCATGGGTGCTGGTTCCCAAGGGCTTGGGCCATCCTCTTTCCCAGGTGCATTAACAGGAAGCTGGATTGGAAGTGGAGCAGCTGGCACTTGAACTGGCACCCATATGGGATGCTGGCACTGCAGGTCAAAGCGTAACCTGCTGCACCACAATGCTGCTGGCCCCCCAACTGCAGTTTCTACTTCAGGTCTGGAGCCTGGCTGTCATCTCATGCTGAGCTTTGTGATTTTGCCCTCTAGAGATGTTGTTTTTGAATTTAGTCAGGCCTTGGAGTGGTATGTATTTTATCTGTCACTTGCCTGTGCTTGGAGCAGGGAGGATGAGGTGCTGTGGGAATTAACGACACTGTCTTGATCGGAATTAGTTTAGTATAATTCCTGATTTTAGAACAGTTGAGACTTACGGTCACCATTTTACTTGATGGGCTAACACAGTGTAATAATTGTGTTCACTGCGTGTTCTAGTGGATGCAGATGGCAGTAACAGAACAGTGCTGAAATACAAATGCCACACCATGAAGAAGCTCAGCATGACAAGAACTCTGCTGACCGAAAAGAAGGAAGGGGAAGAAAACATAGGTTTGTTCACTTGCTTCTCTGAAGATGGGTGATCCAGGATTGGCTTTGACAGTGACGCTTGGCTGCCCAGACAGGCCTGTACTTCGTGGTCATGACCATATGTGATATAGTTAGTACATTACAGTTGGGGCTGTATTTGAGAGACAGACAGAGCTCCTATCTGCTGGTTCACTACCCAGATGTCCATAGTGGCCAGGGCAGGGCTGAAGCTGAAGCAGGGAGCTGGTATCAATCCAGGTCTCCCATGTGGGTGGCAGGAACCCAATTACCTGAGTCATTACCACTGACTCCCAGGATCTGCATTGGTGGGAAGCAAACCCAGGCACTCTGATAGGGGATGCTGGGTCCTAACCACTAGGCTGGATGCCTCCTTCCCCAAGAACATATTTAAAATTCAACTGAATTCTCATATAGTCACAGACACTGTGGACATGTAAAAAATGCACTTTGTATTGGAAAAGACTTTGAGGAGTTTGCCAAGAAATCTAATATGATTTCCCTGTCCTAGGGAATTCAGCAGTCTTTCCCATTCCATATCCCTCTCTCTTTAATACAAGCTTCCTTATAAGTGGAGTGGATGTAGTGAACTCCCAAGTTGTAACCCTGGGGACCCTCTGGAAACTTGTCAGCTGCAGCCTTCCTAATGTGCCCACAGTTGGAAGAAGCTGACTTCTATGTGGGGGAGACGCTAGGACCACAGTAGTGAGTCCTGACTTTGTCTTTATTTTACTTATTTAAAAGACAGAGAAAGTTCGAGAGAAAGACACACAGGCACACAGACAGAGATCTCCCATCTGCTGGTTCACTTCCCAAATGCCAACAACAGCTGGGGCTGTGCCAGGCCAAAGCCAGCAGTCAGCATCTCATTCCCAGTCTCCCATGTGCGTGGCAGGGACCGAAGTACTCTTGAGCTATCACTTGCTGCCCCCAAAGGTGCACATTAGCAGGAAGCTAATTCCTAATTCTTGATTAGTGTCCAGTCTTCTCCAGCTCTTGGTCATCATAGACTGGAGACTTTCAGAGCAATGTTTGCTGCACCTATACCAGTCACGTGTTTGTGGAGCTGGGCAGTAATCTCTTGATGGCTTAAAAGTTCATTGCTCAGAGAACGTGGGCAGTTAGCCTAGTGGTTAGATGCCTCTATCTCATAGAGGAGTGCTTGAATTCGGTTCCTAACTGGCTCCTGATTGCAGCTTCCCACCAATAGAGACCCTGGGAGGCACTGGTGATGGCCCCAGTAACTGGGTTCTTACTGCTCACGTGAGAGACCTGGATGGAGCTCCTGGCTCCTGGCTGGCCTCAGCCCAGCCCTGGCCATTGCAAGCACTGGGAAGTTTCCTCTTGTCTGTCTGTATGTCTGCTCTCTCCCCCTCTGTCTTTCAAATAAATAAGAGTTCATTGCTCAGTGACATCTTTGAAGTTCTAGTAGATAAGATTCTAGTGATGAGTGTTTGTGGCTTACTAGATTTATTATATTTTAAGCAAGGAATAAACATTTAAAAGTTCACTGATCATACCGAAATTGATTATACGAGCAATACATGACTATAATCCTTGTTCTTAATCATACATGTTACAAAACTATTCACTATTCCCTTTTAGGCACCCTGTAAAAATGTAGGAAGAAAGAGATACTGGCTTCTAGAATGAACTTGAAAGGCAGTTAAATACCCTAAGCTTGGCTATCATTTAGATGCTCTTATTAAAAGAAGTTATCTAATATCTTCTGGTGTTTAATTATCTGATAGATCTTTGGGAGGACTTGGGTGTTTTGTTTAGTCAAATAAGTTAGCAACCAACTATTCAGATTGTAGTAGCTATCTGTTGTTCATAACAAATTACCTCTAAACTTAATGGCTTAAAATAAGTGTGGCAGGCCGGCGCCATGGCTCAATAGGCTAATCCTCCACCTTGCGGCACCGGCACACTGGGTTCTAGTCCCGGTGGGGGCGCCAGATTCTGTCCCGGTTGCCCCTCTTCCAGGCCAGCTCTCTGCTGTGGCCAGGGAGTGCAGTGGAGGATGGCCCAAGTGCTTGGGCCCTGCACCCCATGGGAGACCAGGAGAAGCACCTGGCTCCTGCCATTGGATCAGTGCGGTGCGCAGGCCGCAGCGGCCATTGGAGGGTGAACCAACGGCAAAGGAAGACCTTTCTCTCTGTCTCTCTCTCTCACTATCACTCTGCCTGTCAAAAAAAAAAAAAAAAGATATATGGATCCCAAAAGGGTCTTATTTGCTAAGTCAAAAATAAGTGTGGGAACCTTTTTCTGCCAAGGGCCATTTGGATATTTATAATATCATTCATGGGGCATACACAATTATCAACTTAAAAATCAGTGTAGATTTATTGAATTTCAAGTTCCACCTTTGGTTGCCTTGTATGGCCAGACCAAATGATTTTGTGAGCTGAACATTCCTCACATGTGGCTTGAAACAATAACAAAAAGCCATTGTTTTACACGGTATCTGGGAGTAGCTGACCTAGTTGGCTTTGGCTTGCGGTCTCTCATCTGAAGGCTGGCCTGCTGCCGGAAGATCTGATTATGCGATAGCTTGTGCACATGGCTGGGGAGTTTGCGCTGGCCGACAGCAGGTGGCCTCAGTTCCCTGCCATGTGGACCTGCCATTCAGAACTGTTTGAACGTCCTCCCCACGTGGCAGCTGACTTCTCTCAGACCCAGTAATCCATGAGAACAAGGTGGAAGCCCCAGTGTCTTCTGAGAACTGGCCCTAGAAGTTGTACTCGGTCATTTCTGCAGTAGCCTCTCTTCAGTGTGGGAAGGGACTGCGCAGGGCATGGGTCAGGTGAAGATCGCTGGGGACCGTCTTGGAGGCTGGCTTTCCTGATACAATGGCGTTATACTGGCAGCAGAGCAAAATAGATAGGAGTTGTGACCCTTAGCTTCTAGGAACTTGGATTCTAAAGTAAGTCACATTAAAACACACATGAATAAATGTGACTTAACACCCAGTTCGTTCTGTTTATGAATCTATTACGTTCCAATTATTATGCTAAGTGACAGAGTAAAGGATGGTTTCAAGGTTTTGAGCTTGACTGGGAGAATGATGTCGCAGTCAGAACATTACAGTCAGTAGTTGAAGGTGAATTGCATGAAAAGGACTAGTCACTGGTTTTTTTTGAAGATTTATATTATTTATTTGAAAGACAGAGTTACAGAGAGAAGTAGAGAGAGAGAGAGGTCCTCCAACTGCTTCCCCAGATGGCCGCAATGGGAGGAGCTGCGCCTATCCAAAGCCACTAGTAGCCAGGAGCTTCTTCCGGATCTCCCACATGGGTGCAGGGGCCCAAGGGCTTGAGCCATCTTCTACTGCTTTCCCAGGCCATAGCAGGGAGCTGGATTGAAAGAGGAGCAGCTGGAACTAGAACCTGAGCCCATATGGGATGCCAGCGCTTCAGGCCAGGGCATTAACCCACTGTGCCACAACACAGTGACTGACCAGTCACTTTTTGATTAGAGGGCTATTTTACAGGAATAATATATGAAAAGACTTGGGATTACCAGTAAGGAAATTGCCACAAGCAGCTAAGGAGGGGTTGTTTATGGCAGGGAATAGGAATAGATGGAGGAGTGAATAAGGTGACAGGATCATTGATTTATTTTAGAGATATCTGATGGGATTTTGAAGATGAGAATAGCTAGCTTGAGCTGGCTATAAAAATTTGTGAGGATCCAGTGAAAATATTTGGTTGAAAAGGTAATTAGCAAAAAAAAAAAAAAAAAAAAAAAAAATTTGACTAGCACTGTTGGACCAATTCTTGATTGTGGGAGTTCCTTGGGAGATTAGATCTTTTTTTACTTTTTACTTTTACTGAGTAAGGGAAGGAACAAAAATTTTTTCAAGGTGCTTGTTGTTTGGGTTTGTTTGAGAGCTGTCTTCTTTCACTATTAGAAAATGAGCTGAGTCCTGACTTGGAACGTGACAGAGTGCAATGCTCCATTTTATTATGAAAATTGAATAGGAAGGGGAGAATTGTAAGGAAGTGACAAAGTTTCCTTTAAGACATGAATTAATTGTGAGAGCTCAGATGATGTCTCAGGATGAGCTGAGAATTGAACTAGGGCAGGGAGAGGGCATGGAGTGGCAAATGGTAATTGAAGTTAATTATTTTAATGATTTTGTTTGTGCATACCTGATAGGCATTCCACAGTTTCCAGGGAAGATGGAAATTATATGATTTGTTTCATAAGTAGTTCCAGGCGCTATGCTGCTTGACTTATTATTTTATTTATTGTTTTATTTTGACATGTATACCTAGGATGAACATTTAAAGAAAAATATACTTAACCAAAATTCCTTTTTCATGTTTCTTGCTTTATCCCCTCCCTTGAATTAGGTGGAGTGGAATGGCTGCAAATCAAGGATAATGATTTCTCCTATAGACCCAACATGATCTGTAGCTTTCTGCATGAGAACGAAGATGAGGAAGTCGCAGCTCCAGCCCCAGAGAAACCTCTGGAGTTGGAAGAGCAAGAGATCCAAATGAAAGACACTTCAAACCTGAGTTATGAACAGGAGAAACCACAGCACTTGGAGATAGGGAATTCTGGTCCTCCTGCTGATACCTCTTCTGAGAAAGAAAGTTCCCAAGTTTCCTTGGGAACTCAAGACGCTGCCTTAGAAACCACCCCTAGATGAATTGTTTCTTATAACTAGTCATGAACTTTCTAAGTGTAAAATAATTGGTTGTGCACCTTTCATTTGTTCACTACTGTATTGTTTGTGTTGGCTGTGTACATATTTCCTGCCAAAGCATGGCTTTATGTACCAGAATCATTCAGAACTGGACATGGATTAAATTTTTTTTTTAAATATTTGTTTATTTATTTGCAAGTCAGAGTTACACAGAGAGAGAAGGAGAGGCAGAGAGAGAGGTCTTCCATCCGCTGGTTCACTCCCCAGTGGCTGCAATGGCCGGGGCTGCGCCGATCTGAAGCCAGGAGCTTCCTCTGGGTCTCCCACATGGGTGCAGGGGCCCAAGGACTTAGGCCATCCTCTACTGCCTTCCCAGGCCATAGCAGAGCTGGATCAGAAGTGCAGCAGGTGGGACTCGAACCAGCCCCCATATGGGATGCCGGCACTGTAGGTGGCAGCTTTACTTGCTATGCCACAGTGCCAGCCCCAAATTAAATTTTTTTAAGCTATGATTTAAATGACATTAGAGATCCATCTCTGAAGAGTACTTTGAGTGCTTTTTACTAAGGTAAGTACAAATTTTTATTGCAGGTGTCACAAATAACCACAAACTCAGGGGCTTAACACAACACAGGCGTATTGCCTATAGTCTTTTAGTTTGGAAGTCTGACACTGCTCTGCCCTGGGTTACCAATCTAGGTGTTGACAGGATTGTATTCTTTTCTAGAGACAAATCTGTTTCCTTGCTCTTTGAGTTGTTGACAGAATTCAAGTCTTTGCAGTTGAAGGAGTGAGGTCCCATTTCCTTGTTGTCTGTCAGGTCAGGACCATTTTTAGCTTTTAGAGGTTGTCGGCATTCCATGGCTCATGGCCTCTTCCTTTTCAAAGCCAGAAATGGGGAAGGGGTGGGTGGTATCAGGTCCATCTCCCATTTTGAATCTCTCCTGTTACTTCTTACTTCATCCTAACTCAGTAACTTATCCCTCTGCCTTCCACTTTTTTTTTTTTTTTAAGTTTATTTTATTTATTTGAAAGGCAAAATGACAGAGAATCTTCCATCTGCTGCTTCACTCCCCAAGTGACTCCAATGATCAGGGCTGGGCAAGGCCAAAGCCAGGAGCCAGGAACTCCATCCAGGTTTCTCTCACATGGGTGGCAGGGCCCCAAGCACTTGAGCCATCTTCTGCTTTCCCAGGCACATCAGTAGGGACCTGGATTGGAGTGGAGAACTCCCAACTGGTACTCCAGCATCGTTATATGGTGGTTTAGCCTGCTATGCCACATTGCCAGCCCCTCAACTTTGACTTTGAAAGTTCCAATTGAGGGGCCTGCATTGTGGCGTAGTAGGTTAAGCCTCTGTATGAGACATCCCATATGGGTGCTGATTTGAGACTTGGCTGCTCTGCCTCTAATCAGTCTTCCTGCTAACATGCCTAGGAAAACAGCAGAAGGTGGCCCAAGTGCTTGAAGTGCTTATGCTCTCTACCCATGTGGGAGACCCAGAAGAATCTGGGTTCCTAGCTTCAGCCTGGCCCAACCCCAGCCATTGTAGCCATCTGGGAAGTGAACCAGTGGATGGAAGATTCTCTGCCTCACTTCCTGTCTAACTGCCTAAATATATATAAATATATATATTTATTTATTTGAGAGGCAGAGAGAGAGGTCTTCCATTTGTTGGTTTACTCCCCAAATGGCTGCAGTGGCCAGAGCAGGGCTGATCTGAATGAAGCCAGGAGCTTCTTCCGTCTCCCATGCATGTGCAGTGGCTCAAGGACTTGGGCCATCTTCTACTGTTTTCCCAGGCCATAGCAGAGAGCTGGATTGGAAGTGGAGCACCTGGGATTCAAACTAGCACCCATGTGGGAACTGGCACTGCAGGCGGCAGCAAGACTTTTAAAATTAAAAGTAAGTGAAGTTCCATTTGATTACATTGGGCCAGCCTGGATAAACTCCCTTTTTTTTAAGGCCTGTTACCTTAATTCCATTTGCAGAATCCCTTTTGCTGTGTGATTTATTGTATGCAGGATTAGGGCATGGAAGTCTTTGGGAGGCCATTTTTCAGTCTACCATACTTAGTATCTAGGAAGAGAAAATTTTGAAGTATTTAAGACTAAGGGGCTGGTGCCGTGGCTCACTTGGTTAATCCTCTGCCTGCAGCGCCAGCATCCCATATGGGCGCCTGGTTCTAGTCCCAGTTGCTCCTCTTCCAATCCAGCTCTCTGCTATGGCCCCAGAGGGCAGTGGAGGATGGCCCAAGTGCTTGGGCCCCTGCACCCGCATGGGAGACAGGGAGGAAACACCTGGCTCCTGGCTTTGGACTGGCACAGCGCCGGCCATAGCAGCCATTTGGGGAGTGAACCAACAGAAGGAAGACCTTTTCTTTCTGTCTCTCTCATTGTCTTAACTCTGTCAAATAAAAAAGAATAAAGGTTTAATTTCTGATATTCCAGCTGTAAGTTCACTGTTTTTCCAGTTGAGAAAGATTATTAGAATTCAACTGTAATATTCATTTTATGGTGACTAGTTCTGCTCTAGTTTTATTTATTTATTTTTAAATTATTTATTTATTTGAAAGGCAGAGTTAACAGAGATGGGGGGGAGGGAGAGAGAGAGAGAATATCTTCCATCCACTTGTTCACTCCCCAAATGGCTGTAACAGCTAGAGTGGGGCTGGTCCGAAGCAGGAGCCAGGAGTTTATTCCTGGTTTCCACTCTGGTGCAAGATCCCAAGGACTTGGGCCATCTCTCACTGCTTTCACAGGAGCATTAGCAGGGAGCTGGGGAGGAAGTGGAGTAGGGGTGCCCTGTGGGATAGTAGGCAAGGTATCTGCCTGTAGCGCCAGCATCCATATGGGCGCCGGTTCCACTCTTGGCTGCTCCTCTTCCGATCCAGCTCTCTGCTTATGGCCTGGGAAAGCAGTAGAAGATGGCTCAAGTGCTTGGGTCCTTGCACTCGTGTGGGAGACTGGAGGAAGCTCCTGGCTTCATATCAGTCCAGTTCCAGCCATTGCAGCTATTTGGGGAGGGAACCAGCAGATAGAAGCCCTTTCTCTCTGTCTCTCCTCTGTCTCTGTAACTCTACCTCAAATACACAAATAAATAAAATCTTAAAAAAAGAGTCCCCCCCTTATTTTTAAGATTTCATTTATTTGAGAGGTAGAATTACAGACAGAGAGAAGGAGAGACAGAAACATCCTCCATCTGCTGGTTCATTCCCTAGATGGCTGCAAAGACTGGAGCAGGGCAGATCCAAAGCCAGGAGCCAGGAGCCTCTTCTGGGTCCCCAACGTGGGTGCAGGGGCCCAAGGACTTGGGCCATCTTCCGCTGCTTTCCCAGGCCAAAGTAGATAACTGGATCAGAAGAGGAACAGTCAGGACACAAACCAGTGCCCATATGGGATGCTGGTGCCACAGGTGGAAGCTTAGCCCACTACACCATAGCGCCAGCTTCGTCCCTTGTTTTAATAAAAAAAAAAAAGTGGAGTAGCTGGGCTTGAACTGGTGCCCATATGAATGCCAATGTGCAGGCAGAAGCTTAACCCATTAAGCCACAACGTTGGCTCAGAATTCTTGGGTTTTAAAATAACCTTGGAAATAGAAGCCATGAGTGGCAGAGCAAGAAGATAGAAGTTTTGGTCCTGATATTGTGATGCTGACCTGGACGGCTACAAATAAAGGGTTAACAAAACCTTTTCTCTTTCTCCTTGGTAAGGTGACCTTGGGTTGACCTTTCAGTAAGTCTGGAAATAACCAAACAAGGTAATAATGGAGTATTAGCTATGATGGTAGGCGGTAATGTTTATGGTCAAAAGTGACCCTCTGAGCAGTTTTTTTTTTTTTTTCTTTTTTGTTCCCTTACTATCTGTTGAACTCTGCTTGGTGTAGGGTTAATCTTATATGTATGAAGTTATTTGAAGCTTTTGGATCAGCCCAGCTCCAGCTATTGTGGCCATTTTGGGGAGTGAACCAGTGGATGGAAATCTCTCTCTCTGCCTCTGCCTCTCTCTAACTCTCCTTTCAAATAAATAAATACATAGATCTTTAAAAAAAATCAATTGTCATTGAAAGAAAAACTGTTTCTTTTACTAGTGCACTATTTTTTTTTTTTTTTTTTTTTTTTTTTAGGGGCCATGTTAATCTCTGTATTGTTCTAATTTTAGTATATATGCTGCTGAATCGAGCACCACTATTGCACTGTTGCTCTCAGAAGTGTGGTTTTCTCAAACTTATTCAGCTCACTTTGCTGGTGGACACGTTGGGTGTCTTGTTACTCATTTCTGACATTGCCTATCTGGGGTTACTGTCACATCCCGTAAGTAAAGGACTCAGTTCCACATGACTGCTCCCCACCACCTTATATGCCAGTCCCAAGTGGTGGGTCCTTAGGTATCTATAGCTGTCTGGCTTGTCTACACACTGCACGGTCCCATAACACCATCTTCAGGTTCAATCCTTTGCTAGAACCATTCACAGAATTCAGGAAGGCTTGCTTACCAGATTACGGTTTGTTGTAAAAGGATACAACTCGGGAACAGCAAGATAGAAGAGGAGTGCAGAACCTCCACGCCTCCAAGCCACTCTCCCAGCACCTCCACAAGTTCACCAACCCAGAAGCTTTCCAAACCTTATGAGGTTTTTATGGAGGCTTCATTAATAGGCACGGCTAGTTAGATCCTGGATCAAGGGTGATTAGGTCAGCCTCTGGTCCCTCTCCCATGCCTGGAGACCAGGGGCCCTGGCAACCAGCCCATTCTGTTATCCAGGAGCCTCCAGACATCACTTATCTTGGAATACAAAGATACTTATCCTTCAGAGACTCCCAGGGCTTTAGGAGTTGTGTGGTAGGAAACAGGCAGAGACCAAGAATATTCAGCCTACTCGCTTTACCCATCAGTTCCTGAAGATATCCAGTTGCAAAGCCACTCTTGCCTTAATATATACAAACCCAAGTTAGCCCTGCTTGTAACCCCACCTAAGAAATGGTAACCAATCTAGAATTTGTCCCAGCTTCCCTAGACCCTCCACAAAATCCTGACATTTTCTTGCTTGTGTGTCCTGTAACTTTTGATTGAAAACCGACCTTTTATTAATTTGAGGAAAACAGTAAGACCTTCCGTTTGCTGGTACACTCCAAATGCCTGCAACAGCTGAGGCTGGGGTTTGCCATGTGTATGGCA